GCCCGCCAAGTTCAGATAAGGGAATGCTTCCCCCAACCATTAAAGGAAAGGCTCGTCGAAGGGAGGGAGATGCGGCGGTGGAAGGAAAACGCTTTCGGAGATCGAGATTGGATTTGCTTTTCATCGAATACGAAGAAGGCCGAGGATGTTCCCTGAAGCTTTACTATAAAAGTAGTTGGAAATTTAGTATTGTCTTTAAATATAACATAAGTAAATCCCACAGTGTTCGTAAGGTTAACAGACAAGATAGTATTCTTGTATGTTCGCTTTTCTAAAATTGATATACTTGGTTGGCTCTTGATACCCTTTATCTGTGGTGTAGTATATGTGGTGAGTTTTAGATTGAATAAAACAAATAGTACATCATGACAGTATCAAATAACCTTGATGCTTTGAAGTTGAGTATATATAATTTGATATTAGATGTGGGGTCTGAATATTTTTTTTTTTCCGGTCAGAAAGATTTGAACTTATTATTTTTGTTATGTACTCTTGTGGTGCAGTGGTGGAGATTTAGGAGGTCAGTTTTATGCCACCTTCCACTTGTTTTCTTGAGTTTGATTTTATATACAATTGGGGTAATGAAACCCCCATTAGCCTTCCTTGGTGTAGCCTGAAAACTCACCGAGGCAGTGTTAATGTTTTGCTTAGAAAAAAAAAGGATGTATTACTATGCAGTTGGTGAAACATCTTCTATATTATCTAGATACACTGATGATCTTATATTTGCCATTCCATTAAGTTTAAAATGCATCCTGTTAGGATCTGGAGTGACCAGGCACTAAGATTCCAAGTTCTAATAATAATTAAGTTTGTGAGAAATCTTTCACCTTCACTATTATTTAAAAAAAAAAAAAAACTCCATCACCATCCAGTGAATGGAGACACATCTCCATGTCTCCATCTTGCATGGAGACACGACGGTGTCTCTATCCTGGATGGAGGTGCACACGGGCACAATTTTTTGTTTTTTTATTTTATACACAATGTCACTAATAACATTTTTTCCTTTTGTATGGTTCTTGCTATACTTAAACCAACATTTCCATCCAAACTTTGTCTACAATTACTAAAAATCACTCGACGCTATTAAATAGTCAACTAAAGTAAAACACGTGCATTGCACGTGCACTCCACTAGTATATATATATGATTGACTTAAGGACATTAAAGATGAAAAAATGAGGTCTTAAAGTGATGTTATACTCTATGTTATTATATTGTAAGCATTTTCTTGAAATTAGTACANAAAAATGAGGTCTTAAAGTGATGTTATACTCTATGTTATTATATTGTAAGCATTTTCTTGAAATTAGTACATCTTGCTAAATTGAAGATGTCCCTAAATCCTAATATGTATGGATATGGTTTCAGTGAATCGTATGCACTTAATGCATATCACTAACAGCCATTCAAATTATCCTCCCTTACCGTGTCTCCCTTCCAGTCCATGCCAATCGCTGTCAATGAGAAAACGTGAAAATTAAAATTGCTTAAATAGAATCTTGTGTTGTCTATTTGAACATAAATTTAACTTCACTTTAATCCCCTTAATTTAGAGTAACACGTTGCTTTTGTTTAATAAATTTATGTTAAAGTATGTAGCAGAATAATTATAAAAGTTTGACACCAAAATGGTAGATGATACTTCTCTTGATGATAATTCTACTTTCCTCCACTAACTCATATGTTCATTGGTTCTATTTGGATGAGATGCATTTATTTGGCTTAGATTTTGTAACTAGGGGAGAAATTCTCTAAAATTTTAAATAATTGCATAATTGTATCTGGAATACAAGTAATATGGATTATATTTTCCTGCACATTATTTCAAATATTCACATGACTGAGAGTGTCATGCTTTTATAAAATTTTAGATAACTAGAAGTTATTTCTTTGTGTAGGATTTGAATTTTTCAAATAAGAATGAATGTTTTGAGAAACAGTATCAATTTTATTGTTATCAAATGTTAGGCACATAAAAACATTAAAAGCAAAGAAAAATTTATTTCCATGTACACTTCATCTGAAACGATATATGTTCCCTTTGATCAAAGTCCCAATTTCTTAGCCTATATTGTATTCTTATTATCTGTATTCTAATATCAAGCTCATTCTATGAGATTGTTGATGTAAATAATGAACTTTCTACTTAGCTTAATATGGATATGTTTTAATTTCAAATTGTTTCATTGGTATTCTTCAAGTGCAAACATATTTTAAGAGGGATAGCTGACAATTTACATTGACAGGCACCTAAGAAAGGAAGTGAAATATTACCTTAAACACAGAACTTGCAAGGTGGCACTGGTCCTTGATGACTTATCATTGGAGGTTTTGAGGCCATATTCTTCTGACAAGGATGTTGGCAATATTGAACACAAGCTGTTTTACTCACTATCCATGCCTGTCAAGCCACTGTCTGATCAAGATAGCGAGACAAATGATAATTCTATCCTTTCTGTCAACTCCTGCGAATCTATCAGTACCTTGGAGGGCTCTACTATGACCAAGAACAGCTCGATATCAGTCTTCATACCCAACTCTAATGATCACAGTGTTTCCTCACAAGATGAATTGAGCCAAACTAGTACACCGGAAAAATCAGGTTACAAATATTGTTAAATATTTAAGCATATTTGACTTGGTATTTTTACTCTATTTGATTTTGATTTGTGTATGAACTGTCAATTCTCAGTTGAAATGGACCTTTAAGCTGAACTTTTGTCATATCACTTGATTGTTAGAAGAAACTGTTATTAACTTTTAGAAAACTGATTTTTTGTTCTGAACAAATTTGTCTAAATTTTACAATGTTAGTGATTAAAAACATTAATTTATTTAAATAATAATCTTCAATACTCGCCATTACTAAATAGACCAGATTCACTCTTATCAAAGGCCTAGTACGTGCAAAATTTTCGTAAATGGTTGGTGGCGAAACTTGAACTCAGGACCTTTGTCCATTTTGATAGGGTTTGCGTGTTCTGATAAGTGTGGAACTAACTCATTTAAAAGTTTAAGTTATTAAAGAGGCTACCTTTTTACTTATTTACAATTTAGTCTTAATTTAGAAACTTTGTCCCCGTTTCTCTTTTGCATTCCTGGATTACTTTGTCATCAATGTTTGTCAAAACTCACAAGCATAGGAGGATGTTTCTTTGAAATAACGCCATGTCATAACTTATGCCAGAAGAAATTCTGCCAGGGTGCTTCCCTTGTGATACTTTCAGTTCTTGGTCAAAAAAATAAAATGATAAGTATTAATGACAAAAATAAAATTGTCAATGTATTTGAATTTGGCATATTGACATTGAATTAGATACTCTCTTGCTTAAAAAGTTGAAACTTCTAAAGAGTTTCTCATCTCATATGCCCTTTGATCTTCGGTCTCTAATCTGCTTATGCTTTCACCACTGAAGTAGCAAAATAAGCAGCACATCTCCATCTCTGTTTCTCACATGTTTCCAACTTTAATAAACAATTTCAACAGGTAATGATGCTAAACTTGAAAATAAGTATGTTATTTCTCTCCCAATGATGCAAAAACAAAGAAATCCACAGAGATCCTCTGATTCGCCCACAAAGATGCCCAAGGAAGAAACTACCCATGAGTTTGTGGAATTTCATTTGCGAGATGAATCTTTCAACACTAAGCAAGATAAATCAGGTTTAAATTTTTTTATATGTTTAAACATATTTGACTTGACATTTCCACCCATCTTATTAAAATTTTGTGTTTGAACTCTCACTTATCAGCTCTACCATCTTTTCATGAATTGACATTTAATTTGGCACTTCATTATCAGAAGGAAAAGTTTTTAAAGTTTTTTTCATCCCAGCCTTTTTTCTTTTTGTTTGCACTTTACATGGAGACAATGTCATGCCTCATAACCCAAATAAAGGCTTGTCCTTTATATGCTATTTCTAGTTCTTCATCATAAATAAAAATATTAGGTAGTACACTGTGTCTTCGAATTTATTTTATTAAGATTGAGGTATATTTTCTTTCTTGGTTAAAACCATGCAAGAAGGAGGAGAAAATGGTTGTCTTGTATGCTCTCATAATCTTCCGTCTCTAACTTTCGTGGCTAAATTCGCATGTGGCAGCACATCTTGTTCTCTCTCTCACACATGTTTGTAATTATTATTGAACCACCTCATCTAAGAATTTAAGTTATTAGAGAGATAATATATTTACAGAATATTCAGCTAGATTTTGAGATTGCTTTCTTCTTTATTGAAAGTTACCACTATAAATTTATATGCGAGCTCTCTAGAAGCGACTCTCTCGCATGGAGAGTCATCCCTCAACATCCAAACCCACCATTCCCTCCACCGACGACAGGCGTAATGTTCTGTCTGGTCTCACACAACCCACCGGCCCCACGCCACAAAACCATGGCCAATCCGGCCATGGAAGCCACCTGCAGACGGCGGCCCTAGGTGGAAACCCTAGCG